GGCTAAATCCAACTTATATGTAATCCTTATAAGCCGATGCAATAACTCATCGGCTGAAACCCCAATGAAACCCTTATTTTCAATCAAAAGCAGGTTAGTATTTTATGGTTCTAAGCACGACTAAAGTCGATACAACTCGAAGTATGCAAAGAAACATAAAGTCTAAACAATAAAGCCTTTGACTATTTTTTAAGAGTGGTGGATACCTTAGCTAATCTAATCTAGCAAAACAATTTAGCCGATACCGGCAAAAACCCTACAGCAGATCCCAACCGATATAAGTAAATCGAGCTACTAAACTAGATTAACTAAGATATATGATAGGTAGTTAGGCAAATATATCAACCGAACCAGAGCGATCCAAGAGGTCGAAGCCTTGAACAACACTAATGTAGCCGATACAATTGCCAGGGCCGACGGAACGTAGGACTTACCCCTTCATCGAAGATCGAAAGGTGATGCAGCCACGCGTTAGGTGCCAAGTTCCGCCGGTGATAAGTAAAAACCTCTAAAAAGAGGGTGGCAATGTGCTGAGAGTAGTTGTATTGATCTATATGATAGTTTAAAATGACCCCAAGTGTACATATTTATACCCATGGGTAGTTACTAGTCCTTATTGGACAAGAAAGAAACTTTCCTAAAGATAAAAGGAAAACATAAAGTCTTTGTCGAACACTAAATCGCCTATTAGGTATGGGATAATCAATCATGTTCCATTGGCTATAGATGCAATCAAACAAGTAATCCCTAATCTGATGTTTCTCTGAGATGTAAGCAAACGGTATAGATCAAACTTAACCGAGACAGTGTGGATAGCTCTTAAATCAGATCAAATAGATTGGAGATTACATGTGTTTATATTATAGTCGATGACACAATACTTAGGTTAAAAAGATATCGTATTATAAATATATTAAGAGCAAGCTTGTCCAAGATATAAGGACTAGCTTGCTCTTAATATACTTAGGTTACATGTGTTTCAATAAAGACAATTTAGCCGATGCTGGCAAAACCCAAGAAAAGGCTTGGTCGATATAGGTAAATTGAATAATTAGGTTAGATTAGCCAAGATATATAATAGTCAATAATTGTATAGGATAGATTAGAACATCTACAATGACATCCTAATCTGCTGATACAAAACCGATGCGACAAGCCATACCTCTTGTTAGAAGATCAAAATTGATGCCCTAACTCGAAGCAAGAACTCGTCGAGAAAGTTGAAAAAAGTAAAAAGGACGGCGATACGCCAAGATTATTATTGAACTGTTGTTATTTTCCTACGAGATCCTGGGCATATATTTATACCCATAGAAGTTAACTTGTCCATATCAAACATGCCACAAACTTTAAAAAACATACTAGCCCCTTGTGGACTCTAACATATATTTCTAAAATACATAAGGAAAACTGAACTCTTATTCTAATTAATAGATACAGTTTCCATCTCAGGACCTTTTCCTTGTTTGGCAATATCTCTGAAGCCTCAACTCCAATTCGATACGAACTCAAAATCTAACTTTATCGGCTGACCGAGTCCGACTTTGTATCGACCGATACGATCTCCAGCCGATGCGCTGCTCTGTTTTGGGAACCACTTCGGATCTATCTTTATCCTCGCGTATCTCACCAAATTTTGCTGTTAACAGGAGCTCAGCACGGTTTCACGTTCTATTTCACTACCCACTAGGGGTTCTTTTCACCTTTCCCTCACCGTACTACATCGCTATCGGTCACCCAGGAGTATTTAGCCTTGCAAGGTGGCTCTTGTTGGTTCACACAGGATTCCACGTTTCCCATGCTACTCGGGGTTAGAGCGTAAGCTAGTGATGCTTTCGGCTACTGGATTTTATCCATCCTTGGGACAAAAATTTACTAAACTTGGCAAAAAAAAAAGATCCAAAATAACATATTATTAACTAGCACAGAAGTTTCCCATCTCAAACTTTGGAAGTTTTACAATCTGATATTTCAGAATTTTTGACCAAAATTTGGAAGTTTTCGTCCTAAGGGTATTTCGGTCATTAGGAAAAAATTATACATTGCTAACTTGACCGCAATGGTATATTATAGAAGTTAAGTGAAATGCGATGGTATACCGTAGAACTTGACAAACCTAATGACATATTCTAAAATAGGCACAAAATCAGTGGCACACAATGGATTCTCTCTATTTTTTTATGCTTGTTCACTTAATACTATGGTACGGCATTTTTAGAAAAAGTCAAATATTATACTATATAAGTCAAACATTAAATTATATACACTTATAATATAATTTTCAAATTATACAATTCACTATTCACATTTTATAGGAGAAATATAGAATAATGATTTATTGTCTATTGATTTATGAGAAAAATATTAGCCAAAATTAACATATACCTAAAAAATAAAAATTAATATGAAAGAATGAGGGAAAATAATAAAAAATAAGAGATAGTCATGATATATAGTGCAGTGAGAAAAGGAGACCACAATCGAATGCTTTATCATTGAGCAAAATTGAGGGTATTATTTTTTTTTATCTTTTTATAGTAGAAGTCTGTATTGTCATGTTTTAACATATCATGAGATTATTAGTAATAGTTAAGTAGACCAACCCAACAATACCGCATAGAAACGATAAAACTGTAATGGCTTAGCATAGCACGAGACTACCGACTAATGGACAAAAAATAGTAAATTCATTTTGTACAACATATTTTTAAAAATTTTCATACTATATCATTCTTTAATCATTATTTTCATTTACACAACGGCTAACTTTACATTTTTGTTTCAATTTAGACAACCCCATTCTATCCATCTTCAAGTCCAGTGATTTCCACCATTGCTTCACCTCCAAATCCAGTGACTCTACAACCACTCCATACACACACTCTCTCCCCTTTTTCTTTTTCCCTCTGATAGCTGGGAACTGCCAGATCATACGAGGAGGAGCCCAGATCTAGCGTCTTCGCTCTCGGTCAGGTCAGCTCCTGTCATCCCGAGTCCTTGCAAGGCCGATACCCTCGGCCTCAACGATGACCATGACAATAGCGTGCATGAAGACACGAGACGCGGAAAGACAAAACGGTGATTAGAGGGTGCAGTTGCACATGCGAAGATGAAGAGGAGGAATGATGGTGGCTCGTGAAGAAAGAGCGGTGGTTGGCAGTGCATGGAGCGGTACTGACATAAATCCTCAACCAAATTTGTTGTGTTTTTTCTCTGTGAACCATCAGTCATTATAAACAAAATGGGTAACATTACTAAATTCGACATAAAGGTGAGGCACTCGAGTATCTTCCCCCTTCCCTTCGCGTGAAAGAGAAATCCCCCGACTCGTCTCCTCCGCTCCTTGCGCGGTTGCGCCATCTCGTGGCTGAACAGGGAGGGGAGCTGATCTCCATCTGGCGAGCAGAGGAGGGGATCCTGGTGAGCATCCTCATCCTCTTTTTGATGATTCATCTCTCTCCCACCGGGAGTACTTCTGTCTGGAATTTGCTTGCGTTAACCCTAGCTTCTCTTGTAGATCTGAAAGAAGCTCTTCTTCTTAATTTCAGAGCCTTAACCTTAATACAAGTAACAGTTTGTTTGTTCCCAAAAAGTTTGGGGGTTCAACTGAACCCTCATGTCCCAAGTTGGATCCGCCCGTGTCACCTATCATGAATTTGAAGAGCACAACACATAAAAATATGCTGCTAGGAAGCAAGATGAACATATTGTTCTAAAAAAAGTTGGTCCTAGGCACCAGGTAGCTCTCCCAATTTGGCATTATCCATTGGGGCTCTTGTGCTGCTATTTAGTGTTATATTGTCCAATATATGTGTCATATACTTGCCAATTGTTTGGAATTCATTAGTCATGTTGGACCAAGGCGGTGGCTAAGTGCCCCTAGGCGGCTCTTACCCTGTCAACCCTCTAGTGCCTCTTGAACCATGGATGGACAGCAATTGTGCTTTTGCACCAATGTACCCAACACATTTTTTTTTCAAATTACCTTGAGACTTCTTAGTCCTGGATGCTTTTACACAATGCTCAATGCGAAGTTCAGTAACTATAGGGTACATGCATAGTAATGGAATGTCATAACAAGTTCAATAGAAACATAGAACAGCCAAAAATGTAACACATAGTATAATTCGTTTGCTGTTTTCTTTAGAATACTATTGTTTTGTGTTATTTAGCAGTTTAGATTCACATTCATTGTTCTGAATATTATTTTGGAATCCAAAGCATAATAATCATAGTACCATACCATCTAATTAGAGCAACTGTGACATGTTGCTGTGATGTGTGCTTAGTACCAGGAAATTGGGAATCATTATAGGTAGGTTATGATTTTGAGTGATTAAAAGGGGAGTTTTTGTTAGTCTGAGTTCTAGCAGCATAGTGAACGACCTGGTATGTTAGCTGCATGTTAGCATTCCTCTTGGTATTATCAATCAGCATAAAATGCAATATGACTAGCGAGCTTCACTTTGAAGCTTTAGGCCCTTCTCTTTTCTTGAGCTCCAAACTTCAACTTCCTAGTTTTCGATTAGCACGCTTTCAAACTATTAAATGATGTGTTTTTTGCAAAAACAATTTCTATATAGAAGTTGTTTAAAAAATTCAAATAAATCTATTTTTCAAGTTTATAATTAATACTTAATTAATCATGTGCTGATGAGCTTTCTCGTTTTGCGTGCGCTAAAGATCTCGAGAGGAATCGAACACAGCCTTAACTACATATTGTTGAAATGTGGATGTTGCAATGCTTTCATCAAGGCAATAGATGTGACATGGCAGATCGTTGTAAATCAGTTTTACTATGGCAGCAGTATTTCCCTGTGTCAATTTCTAGTTGCACTTTAGTGTATTGCTACAGTGATTGCTAGCTCAGCACCACCTTTGTGTTGTATAAATACTTTGGGTTTATTATATCTTGTTTTATTTCCCCAAATAGGACTAATTTTCATGAGATTTGGTGTGCTTTCTAATGCAGACTGTTTTTGTGTGCATGTAGGAAGCTGATTTTATCATCTGAATCAAGTTTATATATCTACAATATCTGCACAAATGGAATTGGGGGACAAGGCAGTAGGCTTTATTTTAACCTTGACAAGTCTATCCATCTTTACATACTATACTTTCTGGGTCATCATCCTGGTTAGTAACTTCTAGGCGTTTTTCATTTCAAATATAACATCTATGATTTTATTTCTGGATGATAAGCTGTTCCTCTTTTTTTCAATATAGCCATTTGTTGACAGTGATCACTTCGCCCACAAGTACTTTCTGCCTCAAGAGTATGCTATTTTGATCCCAGTGCTTGTCGGCGTGATTGTCCTATCTTTCTTAAGCGTGTTCGTGGGTCTTGTTATGCTCAAGTCAAAGAAAAAGAAGAAGACCACTTGATTGAATTTAACCATATTTGTTATTTGATTACGATTGCAAGCTCTATACAAGAAAGCAGTTTTCTCATATGATTCCGTTCTATGTAGTGGTTTTTGCATGTAAGTCGTAGTTTCAGCTTTATTATTATTATTATTATTATTATTATTATTATTATTATTATTATTATTATTATTATTTCATTTTTGCTGTTGGGTTGTGAACTAAACTTAAAGTGCATGTTTATATGTTCATGGCTAATTTCAGCTGGACAGTCCGAGGACTTGTATTGTTATGCAAATCAAATCCATTTTGAGTATGCTAATGGAAAGGCCTATGCGCTTCTTATGATTATGTTGTTTGGAGTAGTTATTTCATGTGCCACGCTCTGAAATGCACGTAGACCACAGCAGGGAGTGCCTATGCACGGAAAATGTTAAGTTATGCACGTGTCATGCTAATAGTATGTGAGTAGAACTTACAGAGACCAGGTTTTCTAGGACTATGTAAACTCATTGACTACATTCATGCTGACAGTTTGAGCATAAAAAGGGATTAAGAAAAGAAAATGCTTAAGGAAATGTTGTGTCCAAGCAAAGCACAAAGTTTCATTTGGCTTCTCATGTAAGATAGGCTTAACAGAAGGAATCTTCTCAAGAGAAAAGAAAATGCTTATGGAAATGTAGTGTCCAAGCAAAGCACAGCCCTGTTCGGGGGAGCTTAACATTCTAAGAAGCAGCTGGTTGATAGTCAGCTTTTGAGAATCTGGAAAAGCTAGATTTTCCAGCTTCTGGCTTCTAGTTCATTTTCTGGATTCTACAATAACAGCTTCTCAGAATCTGGACCAAAAGCTGGACTGTTTGGGGGAGCTTCTGATTCTGGGAGAAGCTGCAGTAGCTTAAAGCTCCCCCAAACAGGCCCAAAGTTTCATTTGGCTTCTCATGAAAGATAGGCTTAATAGAAGGAATCTTCTCAAAAGAAAAAAAATGACAGGCTAGATTTCACTTGTGCAGTTGTGCTATGTCAGCACCAGCAAGAGGAAACTTTGCAACACCTGTTTTTCACCTGTGTCCATTCTCACAAAGATGCTGGAAGCCTGGAACTATATATATGTACAAAAAGGACAGTTGACATCTCAGTGCAAAAAGCAATCCAAGATCTACAAGATAAATTGCAAGTCCCATTCTTTATGGAGATTATCATTCTAATGGCCTGGAGCATTTGGATTACTAGAAACAACAAATTTTCAGAGAGATTAATTCTTCCATACAGTTCTGTAAAGATAAATTTAGAGCTGAGTTTGCCATGGTTATCTATAGAGCAAAGGGAAAACTGTTTTAATCATCACGGTGATGTCCACCCGTTTATTGTATATCATCTAAATGGTTGTAAAAAAAATTAAAAATAATTGAATAGGTCAATATGTAATATATCACTCCACAAACATGCAAGTTAAAATTCAACTTATACAAATTATAATAAAAATAACAAACAAAACTCAAATTACTGTATATATATCTATAGCTAAATTTGTTATTTTTGGTACAATTTGTAGAAGTTGAATTTAAACTTGCATGTTTGTGGAGTGATATATTACATATTAATCTATTTTACCTGCGATAAACGAATGGATGTCCACTTGAGTTATTAGAATCTATCTCCCAAAGGATAGATTAAAACCCCTACTAACACAATGGCTAGACATTCTTTGAGACTTTCTTATATAAATATGTAACTTTGTTTTATCTCTACTATTATAAAAATTGAAGATGTTTTTGCCGGTATTTTGATACGTCATCTGTATATAAGACGGTTTTTAAGTTTGTTCACTTTTAGAAATACATATCCGTAGTTGAGTCGGTTTTTAAGTTTGTTTGCTTTTAGAAATACATAAGGAGTCATATAAGAAATCTTTTAAAAAAAACTCCTGTGCTAACTTGAGACAAACAAACTCCTAGCTGCAGCTCATGATTTTCTAAAAATATATAAATATTCAAGTAAATTCTCATAGTAAATTTTTATCTTAACTAAACCAATATATAAACTGTAGGAGCCTCTCCTACAGTAATTTTTCCAAAAATAAGAAAGAAAAACTCAATTTCATCTCCTAGAATCATGACTGCACACAATTTGCTTTCCGAACCATACCATCAAAGAACATTATGATGCGACTTTAGTAAGAAAAAAAAATCATAGGCAGGCAAAGACTGTTACATACTTGTATTGTTGTGTGTAACTAAACACAGAAGGTAAGCCGAAGGTAGATAGACGCTAAAATTCCTCATACTACGAATACAAAGAAGACATAAGACAGACTCAAATAAAATTATGATACCACTTTAATTCAATAAAATCATAGGCAGGTACGGACTGTTACTTATTTAATTAAACGGATAGTAGCCAAAGGTGCTAAAATTTATCACGCTACGAGTACAACCAAGAGATAGGAAAGAGCTACTACAAAAATAATTTGGTTAGATTCACTGAATCAGAACTGTGACAAACTTAATCAGTTTGGTCGACTTCCATTGCTTCAACATTGTCCATGAGAATTTCTCTTAACTTTCTTCTCCTGTCCTTAGCCAAGCTAATGCATTCCTGCAGAAATTAAAGGTCAATCAGGTGTATCCTCAAATGGTTGTCTATGCCACATGGTGTGCAAAGTTTTCAGAATCAAATAGAACTAACAAATTAGTGAAAATATATGTGCTTAACTTGGGGCTAGTTTGGTTTGCTACCTTGTCAAAATGTACTCCATCAAGACTAGCATATCAAAATTTTGGTAGAGCCTATATATTCCTCTAACATTAAGATAATTTTGGCACAAAACTAAGCAATAGTTCTCCATCTCTACACCCTATTAAAATTTATCAATGCCAAAATTTTGGCATCTAAATTTTGGTAGAGTAGAGAGACAAGCCAACCCTTGATAACAGTATAAGAATAGGAAATATCACCAAAACATAAAACTCAGTAGTATCTAACTTCAGACAGCTGCTATTTCGTCCTGAATCAAATATACAAATGTAATTCCTTTGTTGTCAAATACATGAAGCCTGTTTCGCGCCTGAATACTTTACCAAAAGCCAAAAAAAAAAACTACCACAGATACTATGGAAATTTTTATTAAGCACGGATTAGCTAACAGACCTTAATAGTTGTCATAGATGTCACTGCACCTCCAGGTTTTTGTATTGACACTATCTGGTCTGAAGAATCGAGAACAATAGTCACAGAAGTCTCTATTATTGATTCTTCTTCAGCAGTTGGATCCGCTAGAACATTATCCTTGTGAAGTGCACATGTAAGGGAAAATGGAACATTAGTAATCGTAAGCTTCCTCTTTTCTCTGTTTACCAATTCATATTTGGCTTTGCCTTCATTGCCCCCAACAGTAAATACTCTACCATCATCACCGACAGATACCAAAGGAATTTCCACTGCAAATATAACATAGTATTAGTAATGAAAATTAACTAAAGCACCTTGAGATGTTAACATGAAGAAAATGGAACAGACCAAGAACTTCAGATGCACAAACTTTCTATAAAATGGAAAATGAACAGGCATAGAGCAGCGAGTTTTGACCAGATAATACTTCCATGTCAAATCTAACAGGACTTGCCTTGCCATCTGAAGTTTTTTGTTGAATTTCAAGAATCATAAATGACCAGGAAATAATCAGTAATATCCTGTACATAAAAATCTCTTTGTACCTACAATGTTTTCATCTTTTTTTTTCACCAATGCAGGGTTGGTTATGATAACAGGATCACATATAGCCTCACTCCACACTCCGCCCAGAGCTCATAAGGTCAAAACAAAACACACCTTCCATTACTCTATTTAGGCAAGCTTCTCACGCACATAAACCACCAAACATAAGAAAAAGGTTTGTGAGACAGCCACATGAAACCATATTAAATGAAAGACCACTTAACATCTTCATTCACGACATCGACTCCAACATTACAATCTTTCAAATGATACAAAACAGAATGTGGATCAAGTTACCCCAATCTTGATGAGTCCCGTTTCTCAATGTTTACTTTAGGGGAGAATTTTCCATTGAAAATTTTCCCCGTCAACAAACTTTACAAATCTAAGAAGTATGGCAAGTAATACTCCCTCTATTTTATTTAGCATATAAGAAATCATACGAGTTTGCATAAGATTAAATAAGTCTATAAAACCAACAGAAAATGCCATGATATGATAAATGAGGAAAAACTATACGCCATGTAAAATGAAATAGACGAGGGCATATATTTATGGCTATTAACTAGTTTTATATATACATAAAAAACTTGCGGTCTTCCTGAAGTTTCACTAGGTAGAATAGAAAAATCAACAATATTTACATGTTAAACTACTCTATTTTATATGGTTCTCATCTAATAATCTCAAAATGTGCTATGAACTGTCTCATAAACCAATGCGTACAATATTTAGATGATTAGCAATAAAAAATTAAACTAACTATGGATGTTTAACACTCAGTCACATGCACCAACCAGTTCAACCAAAAGCTTAAGCTGATGGAGAAGGATGGACAATTCACTTATCCTTTAACACTCCTCGTCAATCTAGGATCCCTCCTACCTCACACTTACAAGGCTTGCCAGCGTTTTATTTAAACAGTGCCTGACAAGATTTGAACTCAAGACCTCTTGGTAGTGATACAAAATTGAATTGCATGCACCAGAAAGTTCACCCAAAAGCTTAACTAATGGAGAAGAATAGGCAATTCCATGAGTTTGTAGTTATCAAAAAGAGTATTTAATGGGGGCACTAAATCTGTAATTTGATTCATACTGACTGAATAAAGCACTAACTGCTAGCACATATTACAATAGCATATTTACATTTCAAAATGAAGAGTAATTAAGTAGTGAAAAATGTCAAATCAAGATAAGCTATCAGAAATAAGGAACGTACAATGTGTAAATGCAGCAACAGCTGAGATTAGTGCAGCGTCGAATAGAGACCCATCAGCATTCAAACAATAGACATCCTGTAAAGTTGAGATGTCAAGAAAACAACAGAAGTATAAAACACATACTTTTTGCAAACTTGTTTTTGGACGGGCATTGCCTGAACTTATTTTTATGCCATTGTTTGTTCCTTTACAAGAGCTGTGGTTGTATAAAACACAAATACTTTTTGCAAACTTGTTTTTGGACGAGCACTGCCTGAACTTATTTTTATGCCATTGTTTGTTCCTTTACAAGAGCTGTGGTTGATGTTGTACTTTACACCCACCTCTATTAAAGACCTTCAGCTGACAGATGTACGTAGAAATGTTGTGTTGCTTGCATTTTTGCAATATCTTCCATTAAAAAAGTGTATTCTTTTAAACATGTGTGTGTTGTTTGCATATTGCAATATCTTCTGCAAAAATTGCAATTTTGCAAATATGTGCGTTTAGGTTGTTGATTAATCTCATCTAGTGGTATATATGATTTTCTGATTTCAGGGTACTAGTTGGCATTTATCACAATGCTCAGGTACAATAATAGTATACTGGCAAATCTCACATCATGCGCTCAGTTCTATTGCAGCAAGCAACCGCAGATAACAGATTTGGTGCTGCCACATGAACTGTATTTTAGGGAAACAGCAGGGAAAGTCCCTGTTGGAGTTTCCGTTAAAAAAGGGGCATATTTGTTCAATGCCATAAAAAGGAAATTGGAGTAGGAAAATAACATCAAGAAACCAAAGCTTCCAAAGACCATTAACACAGAAAATTCTTGAGAATACCATCCCCGTAAACTTTTTTCATCCATATCTAATGTTTCCATCCTACTAGGACAAAGATAAAAATAAAAGATACAGGTTATCTGACATTCTCCTCATCTCTTGACGTTCTGGGAGCTGCTATAGCGTGATTGAGGACAAGCACCGAGCATGCGCGACCACACATGACGTGCTCCAATGACTGAAATAGCAACAAATGGTGAGCATGGCATAGAACACGACAAGAAGGTTCCATTTTTATGGACATATAGAAGAGATCAGAGAAAAATTGACAGGAGCAGCATGGAGGTGACATGGCAAGATTGGCAATACGTTCTAATGTCATGCGGCAGTTGTTGAGCACCAAGGAAATGCGACAAGTGGCAGTGGTGATCTAAGATTCCCACTTTGTCCACACCCTTTTACATCATGCTACAGAACTCCAGTCGCTGGATCCATGTCACAGATAAAGGCAGTACGATGTTGCCAGCCACCATGCTTGAGGACCTGCCCAATGCGGAAGTCATCGCTGTCATGGCCAAGATGCTCTGGGTGGACGCCAACGCCATCATGAAATCTGACCTCACATTTGCTCTTGGTGACAGTGGCTTCACAGGATGTGGCAGCTGGGAGACGCTAATGGCATCATCCTACCACGCACCATGGGGAGAAGAGGTCTGTGGCCATGCAGCATGAGAAGAATAGGCACGTCTATGTGATATGAATTACAGAGAAAAAAGGGAAGCACATGAGAAAGGAGGAAAAGGCATAATGTGGGCCCACCTAGTAGAAATATAAGAAGAAAAAAGAAAGAATGGGTCATTAACAATTAGGGGTGGGCGTTCGGTCAGGACCGACATTTCGGTCCGGTTTTTTCGGTCTTTATAAAAAGGAAACCGAAGTTGTCTCAAGAAACTTGTGGACCGACAGTTCGGTTAACTGATACTTCGGTCTCGGTCTTCAGTCTGACCGACCAAACTGAAGTATCCTTTGTGGCACTGGATTGCAGACTTGCATATAGGGACGAGGGCGAGAAAAAAAATTAGTATGAGATGCTAGTCGAAGCAGGTAGTAAATCACAAGCATACACACGCAACTATTGCTCTTAAGCACAAAAACCCAGATCTGACAAAAATGGAATTCAATCGTTCAAGAAAATGGGATTCAATCATTCAAAGATTACGTGTTAGAAATCTGAAAAAAAAAACAATCGAAGGATAGAGAGTATAGGAGAAACAATCATCAACGAGAGAGACAATCCTCTCGACAGCAGGCCACGGCGCTACTGACAATGGCGCTCAGGCTGCACACGCACAGCAGGCAGGATATGAGCAAGACGACGACGATGACCTCACCGCTACCGCACCGACGGAGACCCCTCAGCAGCAGCCACAGCCATCATCTTGTGCCGTCCTGCCACCAGATCTCGCGCTGCCTCTGTGGATCAGATGAAGCGCCGCCGCCAAAGACGGGAGGGAGCAGGCGCCAAGCTGCTAACCCTAGCACTGGCGGCACTGCCGCTCTACTCCCCTTTCTTGTTTTTTTTTTTTTTAGAGATGTTGCCCACCAGCTGAACGTATATGTGCTACGCTAATGGGCTTGTGGGCCATATATACGTGAGCAAGAGAAGGTATTGGGCCACTTCGGTCAGTCCGGTTACTTCGGTCGGAAAGGCCTGATGACCGAATACACCGAACTAAGTTCGGTCTTTAAAATCGTACAACCGAACTAGTGACCGAAGACCGTGATTTCGGTTTTTTCGGGTTCGGGTTCGGTCTTTTCGGGTCTGGTCTTCGGTCCTCGGTTTTTATGCCCACCCCTATTAACAATCATGGGAAAATGCACTGGTGATGGTATTCTCCAGCATTTGTGGGGTTCGCGAATGGTATTTGGCAGCATGTCACATTCACTATGGCATTTTCCAACTCCAATTTCTATGCGATGGTATTGAGCAGATTTGCTCTAAAAGATTTAGTTTTATGTACAAGCCTAGAAGGGAAAAGAAAAAGGGAAAACAGGGTAGCAGACTAAAGCATATCATTATTCATACATTTTCCAAGAAAATATTCAGCACTTTTTTAGAGAAATACTTAAGGATAGGAAGCACTAAGAAAAGAGCCCAAATAAGATATTTATTTAGTTCCGACTTATCTGGGGGACAAAATTCACTAATAATAAGTTTGTTGTCCCAGATGAAAAGTTTGTTGTTGCAAGCAAGTTACTTCGTGTCGATCATCCGAGCCATAAAACATTGGACAACTTTTACAGTGGTTCTATTGAAAGTAGAACTGATCTAGACCTTCTGGCTTTTTTCATTAAACGGACCATATTTGTTTATAGTACTGACTCAATACCAGTGGTACAACCAATGGGGGTATAATTGTCCAATGAAGATCCTTATAAAGCTGTGAGTTAGGTTGTTTCTACTGGTAGTATTACTGGAAGTAGATAAATTCCAGTAGAGACCACTATGAAAGTGCTCTAAACATTAATGTCCACAATCATGACAAAATAACTATCATCCCTTGAGGAAGGCTATTGCTGACTACTTGACATTAGGCAAGCAGCAAGCAATTGATGCTTGGACCAGGCTTCAAGGATGAGAAGCCTTGCGCATCTTATTTAATGTATCACGACTAGATTTCAGGTGAAGCTTTTCAATTTGACTTATTGGAGATGCCCAGTAAGCCTTACAAAGAGAAGGAACCAATAATGAAATCAGTGATTACCAGGTATGCTAACCAAGATGCCTTCCCACTGATCAAACAGAGCTCCTTCAAATTTAGCATCCCTGAGCTGCACGAGAGGATTAAATAAAGCCACCTCTGTATATGCCATGTATGCAAACGGATATAGAAGTTTCACGGGCATACAGAAAAATAGATAAGTCATATGATCAACAAGACTGATTCCACAAAATTAAATTCCCCATTTCTGGTTTTCTACTAACAAGTAGAACAAGATGAACCAGCCCCACTGTACAGTATGCAAACGAACTGCCATTTTATCATGCCCAATCCTACATATAGATCATATTGGCTAGCTAAAAGCGAATCAACAAAATACTCTTCAATAGTTCCATTTGTGCTAATGCAGTTTCACATGACTACTTTGCTGATTAAAAAGGAACCCCATGATTAAACTCTAAAGTCCAATTGCTACAATATAGCAAATCAGCATGATTTACTGCAGAAAATAAATAAATTAAATTCACTCCTGCAGACAGGCATTCATCCATTCAAGCAAAATGCAGATTATACACATGGAAAGCACAATGATATGCCCATTCAGTCAAAGGACATGGTACGTGACGAATGGAGCAACAGCAAGGCACGATATACCTCATGAGAATGTCCTCTAGGTTCTTGGAGATGACTGGCGCCACCTCTGCCGGCCGTCCTGGTCTGACAAGCGGGGAACAGATAGGCGGCATGTGGAACTCCACAGCTGCAGAACACCACGGCACCACGCCACAATAGAAACGCAGATAAATTAGCCAAACGCGCAAAGCAAAAGCACTATGAGAAGATAAATCAACGGCAAACATACCAATAGATCCTTCGTCGGGGGCCTCACCGGAGGGCGACATCACCTCGAGCTTGATCGACGCGAGCATGGCCTGCCGCAAACAGATACGGGAGGCATTTCGTCAAATAGGTGGTGCACGGACGCCTAAATCAGGAAGAGTGGCGGGGAGAGGGAGGGGTGGAGAGCGGCGGCTTGGGGGGTCGTACGGTGTCGCCGAGGCGGACGAGGGCGGAGCCGTGGGCGGAGGACACGGCGGCGAGGGCGACGGTGGTTGGGCGGGCCTCGGCGGGGCGGCGCGCGTCGGGGCGGACGGATTCGCGGAGGTGGCGCTCGAGGAAGGCGAGGGGGAAGAGGCGGCGGTACGCCTCCACCTCCATCTCGCCGGCGAGGCCGCCGGCCGCCGTGGCTTGGGCCTCCGCCGCCATCTCACGGGTGGGTGGGAAAGGAGCTTGGGACTGGCTTTGTCGACAAAGGGGGTTTTCTTTTTGGTTTGGGGTGAACGGTCCCTTGCTAGGGTTTAAGGCTCTTCCTTTTTTGGGCATCAGTTCGTCCGGTTTGCATTGGGGATTTTGATAATTTTATGTAACTAGCAAAATGTCGGTGCGTTGTAACAGTAAAGATAATATATGCATCGTATTATGTTATAGATATAGCTTTAAAAAACCATGATGGTTGTATTAGAGGGCTAGAAATTCTTACATTAAGAATTAGACTTTGTTAGTTAGATTATAACGGTGTAGATTAATCGATATAGTTGTACATCTTTATCTTTACCTATTATAAAAGTTTAAGATGTTTTTGTCAAAAAAAATTTCGTACGTTGTCCGACTCTATCCACGCGCGCAGTTATTTTTCTTCCCTTTTCTTTTTACCCCGCATACGGGTATATCGCGGTTCATTGAGATCGACTTTTTTCCGTGTGATTTCCTTCCCACGCGTTGGATCTATTACATGCAGGCCCCAAATCGATTGTATCCTGGCCCATGTCCCACATCCCACGTCATCCTTCAATTCCATCCTTCAGATGACGTGGTGACCTTTTTTTCATCTATCCATATCTCTATCTCCATATCTACTGTTATAAAAATTAGAAATGTTTCCCCTAAAAATTTGATGCGTCATCTGTGTTTGAATCGGTTTTCATTTTATGTTTTAGTTTTAATTTAATGTTTATGTCAAATCCTTTCCTTTTATCTTATGTCAAAGTGTCCCTCTTATCCGAGACGTGCGTGAATTAATTGGGCCTGCACTTTTCACGTGTCCCTTGCCGCACGCAATGCCCTCACGCCCGTGATTTTCTGCATGCCAGATTAGGCCCGCAACGCCCTCGCGTGCGCGATTTGCCTTTGCCGCATGTTCGATTGAGATTGTGTCGCCCTCGCCCGTATCTGAAGATGTTTTTGTCAAAACTATGGTACGTCGTCCGTATCTGATTCCCGTCACACGTAACATTCATTGCAAAGTAATAACTCGTGAGTGAACTGCGAAAGAGAGTTCGTGTGATGTGGATACCAAGCGAATGATACTCACAGAATCCGTGTGGATATCACATGTATTGTTGCTCAGATCATCCAATTCTATTTGTATTATAAGACACGATTTCTAGGATATGTTAGCATGATTTCAAGTCAGTCTCCACACATGATTGTACGTACTACCAGGGATGTCGTTACAATAAACTGTAATAATCAATTTTACTTTCGAAAAGAACATGCCAACTGAAATAAAGGATGATCAAAGTTGCTGATTTCGTCCGCTATCAATTCATGCCCAACTTGAGATAAAGCTGGACAACAAATCGAGCTCGTGTTTGAAGGCCTTATTGTTTGGCTTATGCTTATTCCTATAAGCCAAATTTTAAATTTTAGAACTTATTTACACACAAATAGTCTTTTATTTGCCAATAAGTGATTTTGGTAAGCACATGAATAGATGAAACAATGGGCTGTGATTATTTTTCCACCGATACATATGTATAAATTAAATTGGCTCTACCCGTTGCAACGCACGGGCATCTTTTCTAGTAAAGTATAATTTTATTTAAATTGTAGAATGGGATACAATTATATTTATGTAAACAACCATTATACCAATTCAATAATATGTTGTTCCGTATAGAAACTATGTTTCGTATAGAAACTAAAATTTCCATATTTAAAGCCAGCGGATAACTAAATATGAAGCCAGCAGGTTTCCAAGGTTGTTGATATTTCTTAATGATATTACTAAAAATATAATTTCTAGCAATGACACCCGAAATATTACTCGGTATTCTTTACGGTTACAGATATAATCTGCAAGCGCGCGGATACACCGCTGTAGCATTTTACCCAGAAGTATTTTAAGGTATCATATTTATTTAATCCTAGGAAAAGATATGATAATAGAGTACTATGCTAGAAATTTATATCACTCGTACAGATCAAAGTCTAATGCAGGGGTTCATCAATTCAAGGATAGATAGATTAACACACAGAAGGAACTAACCAGAATACTCTCACTAAAATAATAATCTAAACTAAGTGGAGAAAGAATAATAACATAATCATTTTTGTACTTATAGTATATAGTCATTTTAGTCTGCACTTGCCATTATACAATTATGTAGCCAATATCCCCAAACTATGCCCTCCTGGTATTTCGAGAAACCACCCCTAATTGCTGAGTTTCTTACGACAATCTGTTATGGCCATTCAACTGGTAATAGATACGGAAGAGTACCCACACCAGGAAAATCTCTTAGCCCTATATACGCACATGGAGGAATACTCGTGGCATACATCACCATTTAATGTTATCTAATAATCTAAGCACCACGATTACATTACTAAATATTACTCTACATCTTTGCAGATGACATAGAGAAATCATATAAATGAATATCAAACCAATACCATTGCATATCTCCAGTAAGCTAGCTACATAATTATTACGAGACAAGTATGAACTAAAGTAGGTACTCAAATAATTATATAAATGAAGTAAAGGACCAAAACTATACAAAGAAGAATATTTCATTACTGAATTAAATCTTACAAGAGAGAGAAGAGTTACTAGAGTCATACTCAAAATCTCCAGAAGACTTGAAGAACTAATAAATTATTCTAATTCTACTCCACAAGCACTAGACACAAAGTAAATAAACTAGAGAACTCCTGCTTGATCCTCCTTGGTGTGTATTGAAATGGAGAGGGAGAGATCCTTAAATAGCCTCCATATGACGGCTGTGGTGGTTGGAAATGTTCTAAACACCCCGCAACCGTCATTGGGGAGCAATCTAGGACGTCCACATGGAAGGCAAGGATCAGAGGCGCCGGTGGTGGTTCGGCCGAACCCTGGTGTAGGATCGAGATGTCGACTAGAGGGGGGTGAATAGGCGATTTAAAATTAAATGACACCTAATCAAAACTAACCTAAGTTGCTAGGCTTGGTAAGGGATAAGTCTAACTAAGCAACTAAGTTATGTTTTGCAATCCTAGGGTGAAAGTGGCTCAAATAAAAGTAAATCACAATTCCTAAGTCTAGTTTAGCAATCCTAGGGTGATATGATCTCAAGTATGTCTCTAGGAATGTAAATTGCACAAATGTAAATGCAACAAATAAATGAGACAAGGAGACAGTAGATTTTTCACTGAGGTTCGGAAACTCGCCGGTTTCCTACTCCCCGTTGAGGCGAGCCCAACTCCACCGCTCAACCACAAAGCCACCGCACGCCCCCTTCGTCAAGGGGTGGGCAAGGCGGGAGCCAGCCCACGGAGAGGACTACCCAAGCCTCGATCACTCGGGGTAGTTCTTCCTTCACTCCGAAGGTGGTGAACTCCAAACCAGTCAACACCGGCGCCAGGGCCTCCTCCACAATCTTCCCAGAGAGGTCACCGGGAAACTCCTCCACAAGTTGTCTAGGAGGCGGCAACCTCCAAGAGTAACAAGCAATGACGCGGCTCGGAGAAGATCAAGTGCCACACTAGCTCTACAATGAAGCAATGCACTTGACTCTTGGCTAAATCAACCCTCAACCACTACAATGGATGAACATTAAGCTCAAATGTGTGTGAGAGAGGTGCAAGGGGTGTATGCAATTGAATTGGGTGCCAAGAGAGACCCCTTGCTGCTGGTGGGGGAGTATTTATACTCCCACCCACCAAAACTAGCCGTTGGGGGCGAAATCCCCCAACTCAGTGCTCTGCCGGTCTGACCTGAGGTGTATGGCTGGTCAGACCGTGCTAGTCTACAACAGCTAGAATACAACTTCTAGTTTTCTAGCCGTTGTAGGCCTGTCATTGGGCCCCATTGCCCTAGCCGGTCAGACCGACGTTGAGTGGCCGGTCAGACTGGCCTCGGCTCGGTCTGACCGAATACGGCTCCGTCGGCTCTGTATCGTCCAAACCAGAGCAACACCATCCCAGCCTCCAGGCGGCCGGTCTGGCCGCACAAGTGCCGCCGGTCAGACTGGCCAATCATGCCGGTCAGACCGCCACTAGGTGGCCGATCAAACCAGCCTCTGACCTGTGGTCAGACCGGCCCTGGTCAGGGCGAACTTAGTGAAAAGGTGTGTGTTGTGAAATGTGAGCACAAGTCTAGATGCATAATGACCTAATGTGACAATTAAAATCATCTCTTTGCTAGGTCATTACCCCTCTTAATAGTATGGCAAAGCTATAAATAAACAAGCACAATTTTGATCACCCAACACCTCGATCAATTTAAAATGAAAACACTAGTTTACCGTCTTCTCTTCCTTTTGCTTTGCGCCGTCAATTTTAATCCATCGATAGACATCCATGCGCACACATAATGCGAACCTAACTTAAAATATATAGCTCAAAAGAACAGTTAGTCCACAATTTGTGTTTATCATTAATTACCAAAATTAACATCGGGGGCTTAGATGCTTCACCTGGGTTGGCCCATCTTTTCTCCCGTACCTCGCTTGATGGATCCTAAGCTCAGTGGCATGGTGGTTGGGCCCAATTGCAGGTGTTCTAGTGGGTTTGTGGGCCCATTCATCCATAAGTCTGCCACCCGTCGAGCTATGATTGATTGAACGATTATTTTCCATCGTTTCTCCTCCATTTATATGAAAATCTCCTGTATACAAATACTTTGACAAGTACAAGTAAAAATAGATTATGCTTAAACCAATATGCATGCAAGCATTGCTAGTTCTCCTTTATTTCCATATGTATTGATGGTCGAAATTGGTATATAACGACCGTCAACAAAGGTCCAATTTGAGAGCTGGGCCATAGGTTTGTAGCCTGTTGGGCTTTGGCTTTGACCATGTTATGTGTGGCTGTGTGAGCAGCTAGGTGCAGCAGGCTCACGTAAGGAGAATTGACTCCTCCGACGATCAACGCATGGCCGTTCGTTCCACATGGTTATGGACTAGGACTTACGGACACAAGTGATCGTAAGACGTACCAAAGCTCAAGCACGAAAACAGAACGATCGAATCGGAGACATGGCAAAGTGGTGGGTTATACACGGCATGTGTGAGGATGT